AGATTTTATGCATCTCTTGGATTATCATCTCAAGGTACTTTCAAACACAAATTATTAGCAAAGTAACTGGATTACATGTAGGAAACAGTAATTAGGACAAAAGGGTAATAACACATAAAACCTAAATATAAAATATAAATAATACAAAAGAAGTAGAAATATTTGGATGTGAACCTTTCCATACGTCCTTTCACCGACAAGAACAGCTTTACAGTTATCATGAAGTGCAGTAGCAACCTATAAGAACAACCATCTTTGCATTAAGAATAACCTTTTCAACACAATATTGTTTTAGGAATAGAACTCTGAATGCATACTGTGTAACTGAACTTACAATTTCACTTGCACTAGCTGTATTTTTATTTACCAAAACCTGCTCAGATAACGAAGGAAGAAAGTCATGATGAAAAAAAATCTCGAAAAAGCATAAAAGAGATAAAGCAGAGGACAATTGTCTTGATTACATCACTAGATTTTTTAGAACCCAATGTGAACATTAATTATGTCATCCACAGTTTGGGACATTATCAGTTTGTCTGGAGGTTCTAGGATGGAACTAAGTTAAGGATAGCCTCAAGTACTTACAATAAGAGGAGTACTAAACAGAGGTGAGGTATCGGCAACTATATTTTTTACGGACTGTGGATCCCTACCGACAGTGTAAGTTACCTGTTAATAAATCAGAAAACAAACTCATTGATTATGCAAGTGCTGCTGATAATGTGATCGTTCATAAGTAGCGCAGCATGTCTTAAAATAAATGCTAACCCACTGCTAATTCACCAGATTGCTGATTCATAATCATAGATCATAGGGTTAGAGGAAACAACCAAAAAACTATTAAGTCGCCGGATGAATATGTTAATTTGATTTGCGTACTGTTTCCCCTTTGTCGAGGAAGAGTTTAGCAATTTCAATGCCAGCCTGCAATACCGTTCACAGCAGGGATTAGAAAACTAGAAAAAAGAACACTGTACTGAAAACTAGAACCACTCGTGCAATCGCTTAGCATATGTTCTATATTTTTCTATATCTCAAAAGAAAAGAAAAACAAGCTGCACGAGAGAGTTTTGAACATGATAAACAACAATACCAGTTTATATATGAATAATATTTTTTCAGAAACAAACCTGCACTAGTCCACCAAGATTGTCTCTAAGATCAAGGATGAAATAGGAGGCGCCCATGTCCTTCAGTCTTCTCATTGCTACAAAAAGCAAGTATAGTACATTAAACCATTGTGGCCGAAACCATTAACATCAAAACATACATTGGGTAAACAACTTCAAAATCAAATTACAGACAGTTGTGCATTTATGCATCATTTACCTATAACTAAATCTTTCCTGGCCAAAGCATTGAACTCTTTGAGGCGTACGTAGCCAACTGAATTTGAACCATTCTTAACCTGCTCCAGTCGGTAAAAAACTGGAGACTTTGCAATAGATTGCCTAGGAACCATTATTGATTGGACAGGTCCACAATTGCCGTGCTTGATCTAGCAACCATTGTTGCTTGATAACGAGTAAGCAGGCAGAAACATTAAGCAAATTCGAGGAAAAAAAAGGTCAACATTCAACTCACCGTGATATTGACAAGTGTTTCACTGGGGCCTTGTAACATGGATGAAGCTTCAAATGCTGATTTTCCTTTCACATCCACCCCATTAATAGACAGCAGTTCATCACCCTACCAAAAGTTTACATGGTGAGAAATTCAGACACACTACAACTAGATACCAAGAAAACTGAGTTACGATACTTCTAGGTCTATAAGTTACAACAACAACAACATACCCAGTATATAAGTTAATTGGGTAAAATTACTATTCACAAAGATTAAAAAGGGACCTTTCATTATATTCAGTTATAAGGGAAAATGGGAAAGCAAATGAACGGTGGTCCAAAATTTTGAAAATAAAAAGGCTTATCCATTAATCAATTACTAAACATAACCACAAACTCTTCTGTAATGAAGTAGCTAACATGATCAGTCAAGAATTATTCATTTTCAAATTACATTTTAGACGTGTGATAAAAATAAAACTTCCATATAGTCCACCTCTGCATACAAGCAGCTGACTTGAAATTTTTTCTCATGAATTCTGTTTCAAGATAGTGTGAGAAATGCTCTTGGGCAGGACAAATGTTAACTAGGCACTAACTTATAAGATCTCTCCAAATGTCCAATCAAGAAAAATGAGAACTTCACCAAATATAAGATGTCATCACTGAACATAAAACAGAAGATTGAAGAAAGTTTGCATGTCTGACAAAGGTTGAGCTCCCTACCTGTCTAACACCAGCCGAGTGGGCAGGACCATCCAAAATTAGTCCCAATACCTTCAACTTTATCTCCCCCTTATCATCTGGAATCTCCCTTAGGTTTATCCCAATCCCAGTCATATCATACCTCGCCATCTTTGAGAACTTCGATTCAACGACAGGACCAATACATGCCATGGAATAAGAAAAACTGAAACTATTTGTAAGTCATTACAATATCGGCACAAGTATAAAAAAGACTGCTGTAAAACAAAGTTTTGACAAACGGCAGTGAAGGTTTCAATGCAAACCACAGCAATCATCGGTTGACTACAGATATCTAACTGAAATTGAACAAATGAAAGATCAAAATCGAGGGCGATTACCTCAGCAGGGGTCAGAAAGCGAGTGTAGGGGTCTCCTAAACTCGCCAACATTCGCCTGATGATCTCATGAGCCCTGGACCTCGCCTGTATTGGGGAGCCCAGCACGTCCTCCTTCTTTTTCTGAGGCCAAAATCAAATGTTTAAACCAATCAATCAATCGCACTGCACCACCACTCGCGTGCATAACGAGTTGAACTTTACAAAGTCGAACCCAATACTAGATTCTAACGCGTACAAGCCAATAATCGGAGGACCAGCGGCGCCGGCCGCCGGCGTCGAGAAAACTGTCGTTCACGATCTGCCAGGCTTCTCCGACGATCTCCTCGTTCGTCGCCACTTGCGACGTGGATAGGCTGTCTGCATAAATTTCGTCTTCAACACAAACTAATTCCTCTTGAGGAGTGGTTAATTCAAGCGAGATTACGTCTGGAGGAGAAGCACCGAAAAGCCCTAGGGAAAGTGCTAGCGGTAATATAGCGGAGCTCAGAGCTCGAGTGAGTCGCCGAATTTTCTGTGAACAATTTGTCTCCGGCGATCTGAGTGAGGTTGATCTCGGCCGAGATGGCGGCTGAGGCGGTGGAGGGAGTGATGGCGGAAGGTTGCAGAGAATATGCCTCGCCATTTTCACTGTCCTGTTTGGGGGTAAGCTCGGGCCACTGGTTTTGTTTGCCGTTTGGAACAGTGGATGAGATGCATTATCCGGGAACTTTTCTGCTGTTGGTAAATCTACGGTAGTTTCCAATTTCAAACAGGTTTTGTAAGAGCATCTCATATCTCTACAAAGAATAACCTTTTTACAATTTTAAAAATATTTTTCCGTCAAATACATTAAATGTATCTTATATATAGTAATTATTGGACAAATAATTAATAAGACAACAAAATCGACAAATTAATTATGTTAGAATCTGTTTTCCTTTCTCTTGTTTATTGGGTATTGAAAATCCGGGTTATAAAAATATCATAGCATAAATCTAGAGTTTATCTATAAAGATTTAAAAAATCTCATCTCTTATCTATAAAGATTTAAAAAAATAAAATAATATAAAAACCAATTTAGAAATATTATAAGCTAACAATATATCTTCGATAACAACGTAAAAAGTATAATAATAATGGTGTGTAATCAAATTTTTTAGATGGAAGTAACGCCATTCGATATATCTGACAAATATTATACGCTAACAATATATCCTCGATAACAACGTAAAAAGTATATAATAATGGTGTGTAATCAAATTTTTTAGATGGAAGTAACGCCATAAATTCGGTATATCTGACATAATGTCTTTTTTAAATTATGCTAATAATATTTTATATATTTTAAACAAATTGTTTAGACATTTTTTTTACATATTCGTCTATATATATATACATATACACATATACATAATTGATGTTAAATTTAAATATTTGTAGACATATTTTCTTTACAAAATAGTCTAGAAAAATATTTTTTACACAATGTTAAATTCAAATGTTTTTAGATATGTTTTCCTCCTAAAATTGTTTAGAAAAGTTGTAGGTGACTTCACATCTTTCGAAAATAATATAGAAATTTTTGTATACTTTTACATATACTAATATAATATTTTAGATGTTTTTAATATTAAACATACAAATTTTATATTCTCTTATACAAAATAATGTAAATTTCATATTCTCTTATACAAAATAGTTTTACATTGATTGACCCCGAATCTTTAATTTATAATTATTAAGTATTGTTTATCCTCCTCTATAATTTATAATTATTTTTTTCTTTCTCTTTTTAAATAGGATCAATAATAGTTTCCACTTCCGCCATTGAGTGACTCAAACTCGAGGTCTATTTATAATATTGTTAATTTAATATTGTTCCCGTGCATCGCACGGGGTACACACAGTTACTATATAATACAGTTAAGAAAAAACTATTCAAACAATTCCAAAAAAATTAATTCGTTTTCCCGCTTCATAAGTCATTTTCCCGCTTACATATTTCGTAAACTTTTTTGAATATAATTAACATGTCCCGCCCATGCAATTTGAATGTCAGTTTCAAGAATCCAATTGATTTGAACTTTCAAAAAATCTGGAAACTAATTTCTTTATTTAATTGAATGTGTGTTTGAATCAGTCTCAAAATAAATAATGTAGATTCGTTCATATCCGGTCAATGTAAATTGGTTGAAATTTCCAAATTTTGTTAACAAAATATCTGGTAAAAATCATTTTTTTTATAATTGAAATCTGCATATGAAGAATCATGCAATAATTGAAAAAAGCTAATGAACATAAGATCCTACATATCTATTAGCATTAATGGACTATTTTTTTTACAATTCCAAAAAACCTTAAAGAAACTAAAATATATAATTACATTCTAAATTGAACATAAAATCAAAAAATCGAATGTGCATACAATTTTTAAAAAAATTCTCAAAACAATTAATTAAAACTGGAGAATTGAGAATGAAAATCTCATTTCCAATCGTACAATGGTCTTTTGAAAAAAAAAAAACCTTCGAATCAAAACGAAGATCCTAAACTCAAAAAACTCCAAATCGAAGTATTTTGTTGACGATTCCTAAAAACCTTATAAATCGAACATAAAATTCACTAAGGAATCTGTTGAAGAATCATAATAAGTTAGTTTATTGATATATATATATATATATAGAAATTAACAATAAAAGTAAATAAATAAATGTCATATTATTATTGAATTGAATATTGTGGAGAATATGATTTTATATTTTATTAAATAATTTTATAATAGTTAAATAAAAAATCTNATTCAAGTTTGGGGAAATAAAAAAAGATTAATGTTATTTAGTCCACTTGGATGACAACTTGGGTTACAACCCAAGTGTAAATGCATTATCAAAAAAGTAAAAAATAATGCACCTATATCTATATCTATATCTATATAATGGACCAATTCTTATTTTCATAATTGACATACTTTTGGGCGGATTTTTTTTTCTATATTAGGTATTTAATTAATATTTATTTATTAGCAAATCTTATACATAAGAAAAAATAATTAATTCGTATACACTCAATGACTATTACTCATTACTACAAATTGGCTTAAATTGAAATTTTGACTGTGGATATATTAGATATATTTTCAATAAGATCATATATTAATTTAATAGTAATTTTTTGACACAATTCAAAAAAATTATTATGGAAATTGATTTGATTAAATATATTATCATCTATGGTTGTATGTATTAATTTAATTAATTATATTCACTATTCAGAAGTACTTAAAATATTTAATAAAATAGTCAGAATAACTATGTTTAAACCATACTAACTTCATAAATAATTTAAAAATATTAATAAAAGTCTATTAAATGTAGTCATTTTAACTATAAAAAGGTACATCCCGATTGAATGTATCAAATGCAGTGATGATACTATTGAAAATTTAAATAATTAATGTACTAATAAAAATATAATTTGATGGTCAGGTGCAATTCAGAATTATAAATTTCACCTTAGAAGTATCTATGTACATTAAAAAATTATTCAATTCTTAAAAATATATATTTTTTCTTATAAATAATAAAATTTATATATTAAATAGTCAAAATATACAAATATATATATATATATATACATATATATAGAAATTAACAATAAAAGTAAATAAATAAATGTCATATTATTACTGAATAGAATATTGTGGAGAATATATATTTCCATATTTTATTAAATAATTTTATAATAGTTAAATAAAAGATCTTGATGAAAACTAAAAAAATATTGATTATAGAAGGGATTTAGTTTTTGACATTTGCTAAATCAAAGTTATCTAATTAGTATACACAATTAAATTCTAAAAAAAAACTTGTGTGTATATTTTGTAAAATTTATACACTATTTAATTTCACATTTATTTACATATTTTAAATTAATTACAAAAATAAATAATGCTAACGTGCATTAAATATTTTTCATTACATAAAACAAAAAGAAAAAGAAGACGTACAATGTCTATAAATTTTATAAATAATAATGACATTATATGGCAACAAAGTTTATAACATGCTCATATTTAATATTCTGGCAAAAAACACAAGCTGATTAAACCTATTGTTTTTTAGACTTAAACGGACAGAACCTGTTGAAATAACTCATTTAATATCTCTGTCCCGTGCATAGCACAAGGTACGTACTAGTTGCCATAAAATTGAGAATTCGAATTAGCCAAAATACTATCACATACTCTTATATCTTTTAAAAATAAAATATGCTATTTGGCCCCTTGTTTTTTTGCTCATTGTTAGGCAAAAAATAATGTATTTGGCCACTCCCAAGGATCAAACTCGAGCAAACACCTTCATAGACAAGACAACAAACAATTTTGCCACAATCATTGGATAGTATGTGTTTACCACATATTTATTTAAAAGAACACAAACAGGGCAAAACTTTATCAAACAAAAGATAAAAAAATATAATAACTACAAAATAGATTAACTAAAGAAAATATAATTAAAATAAAAATTATTAAATTATTTCAATCCATTAAGAAATTTTCTTTAAAATTAGCTAATTAATTTTAATGGCATAACTAAAACCAGTTAAATCACATAAATAATAATAATAATAATAATAATAATAATAATAATAATAATAATAATTTCCAACCAATAGTTAGTCACTATCTCTCAAAATTATAATCAAAATTATCTTATTTATTACAATTTATATCATAAATATAGTGATTCATATGTATGGTTTATGATTTATATGTATGTTGTTTATTTTTTTACTAACTGTTAACATTTCAAAATCTGATAAATTCATTATTTAACTTATAACTTTAAATATTATATACATACTTATAATTAGAGTCATCAAAACAAGATAAAGCTCGTGGGCTCCCTTTTTTTAGGCCTGCCAGGGAGCGGTCCTAAACAGGCCAACCTACGCGGGCCGCGGTGCGCTGGCAGGGCGAGGCGGTTGCCATTAACTAGGCCCGCCTCGCCCCACCAAATGGCTGGCTTTGGCGGGCTATAGGTTTGTCCACCGTGGGCTCGTATTGCAGCTCTACATATGATGTATAATTTTATTTGTATTTATGTATATGCACATCATCGACTACTAGTTGTATTGACAATGTATGATTTTTTTTTTTCCTTTTTATTTCTCAATATCATGTAAGAATTAAAATTATTAAGTCGACAACTATTTAAAATTAAATTAAAAATATTGTGAATGCTTTTTTTTTCATGAAACGATAACAAATAATATTGTGAAGCTCAAATAATAAATTAACGCTCTCTTCTCTCTCTGCGAAATTAGGGAAAATCGCAACCTAGGCCGCCGCTCAAATCTACTGCCGATTTGCTTCCCTCGGCGCCGGTAGGGTTCGACCAGTGGTCGCCCCTAACCGCTCCTCCTGCTATGGACCTTCCGCGCCCCGATTTTGCTGCGGCTTGGTGCGAATCGGCACTCAATCGACGGAGGAATGGTGAGAGGCGGTGTCGACTTCTTGGACGGATTCCGGTCAGTAACGGGTGGCCCGGCTTCCCAGTCGCTGGCGGACCATCGATGGTCGGCGGTAAGCCTTCTCTCTCTTTATTTCCGGCTTCGTTGGGCTTCCACACTGTGAGTTTCTGTTTTTCCGGCGGAGCTTATGGTGGAGTGGGCTGTTGGTTGCTGGGTTTTGCGGCGGGTTCGGTGGTGGGTGGTCTGAGGTGGGAAGAGGCCTCGGATGCTGTCTGGGGTTGAGAAAACGTGCCATCTCCCCCCTCCCCTGGTCCGGCTAGTGGTGTTAGGCGGCGGGGGTCTGGGGACCTGGCTCTCCGGGGCTCGTCTAGTGGTGTTAGACGGGTTCGGGATGGGCTGGTGGTGTTTGGCTAAATTTTCTTTCGGTTGGAGGTGGGTCAATGCGGGGAATGATCCGGGGCTCGGTCTCGGCTACTTGTATAGGCGGTTAGCCGCAGTTTCGGTAGTGGTTTCTCGGGCCGGGACTCCTTCTTGTGTTGATCGATCGCTGCTGGTGGGGACTGCTAGTCTGCCGGGGGAGGGCTGTTAATTTTTAGGATTTATTGTTTAGGGTTTGCGTTTTGTTTATGTGTTTTCTCAGTGTTTTAGGTTTGGGCTGTGAGCCTCGGTTTTGTGTTTTGCCCGAGTGTGACCTTATTATCCTTTTGGGATCCCACACTCGGGAATTACTCTGTTGGGGTCGTCTTTGTATTTTGTTCTAGTTTTTTTAGTGTCCTAGTTTGTTGTGTTGCCGAGGATTACCCTGTTGGGGTCGGCTCTAGGCAGTCCACTTGTGGACTGTCCTCCCATTTTTATTCAGCTATTGGCTCCTTGTATTCAGCCGTTGGTTATTTGTATTCAGCCGGTGGCTGCTCCTTTGCACAGTTGTGCGTTTTAATATAATGAATCTATCGTTTTGGAAAAAAAAAAGAAGCTCAAATAATCATTTTACAACCGAGTATCCAACTGGATACAATCAACCCCAAACTACAAAAATGCCAAGAACTAAACACCCACCGGGACTAAAACAATTTATAGTTCCTCAAGTGCCAAATTAACTAACAACATGCTAGAAACACATACATTAGGGTCAAAAGATTAAAAAAACAAAAAAAAAAAACAATCAACAAAACCCTAAAATAGCCTTAAGATGTCAAGAACAATTGGTCTCACCCTCAAGTTGCTCACAGTTTTTTGCTGCAAAAGTCTGGCCAACGCTCACTCAACAATGCTACACGCCAGACTGTCTACCTGAAGGGCTTTCACATTCTGCAAAGGGAAAATTTTATCTATCCTACACGGATTGCAAATAATTGCAGAATTGCTAGTGATTAATAGTTTATTGCAATTAAATTATTTATGGCATAAATATTTACATGTATGCCTAACATATCAATTACCAATTAAAAGATAATTGATGCCCTTAATACACGCTAATTATACCGTTATAAGAGAGAGGAAATGATCAAATGCTCATGCGCTGCAATTGATATGGAAAATATATATATTACAATTGTTGCTCATGTTAAATGGATCGAAGGAAAGTATGATCAAATATCAAAGTATCAAAAAATTACACGCCAATTAATTTTCAACATCTCACAAAGTATCAAAAAATTATATATCAAATTACATGCCAATTTTTTGATGTTAAAAAATATTCATGTAATTTTTTGATATTACAATTCTTTTGATGCGCCGCATCAATTGTGAAAATTAATGCTTATCGTTGCCTAATACAGAACAAAAAAACGAACCCAAACTTAAATTATACCATGTCAAGAGATAGTCCTGTAAAAGATATGATCAAATACATGAATACTTTTTACTTAGATTAATATTCTTGTAACTGTTTTTGTGTATATTAAAGGTATATGTTTTTTATATTTTATAAATAGAGTCACCTATGATGATTTTCATTCACTAAAGTATTGAATGAATTATGTGGGTTCTGAAATCGATTTTGAGAAACGATTGAAACTCGAGTGTATAATTAAAGTATATTTTATGTATATGTGTGTCCCGATATGTCGTTGGCTTGAATTACGAGAATCTCGAGTGTATATTTTATGTATATGTGTGTTGTATTTGGTATATATTGTATATACCCGCAACATGTAAATTTTCATATCTGATGGTAACATATAAATCATGTACAGAATTTTCATACCCGAAACATATAAATTTTCATAGCCCGAAACATATACTGAAAATATACGAAACATATACTGAAAATATATTGTATATACCCGCAACATGTACAGAATAAAACTAACTATCAACGAATCAAGCACACCAAGTGTTCGACCATTATCTTCTGAGAAGTTTTCAGTATATTGTAACAATAACTAATATATTCATTATATTTTCAGTATATTCAGTATATTATCATCATCAAAGCATGGCTGCACAGTCGAGGTACTGTCAAACATTATTTCGTGATCATTATGTAGGTGATTGAAAGCCTTCTGAGAATGTTTCAGCGTGCCTCTTGAGATCATGTAAACTCTGCCAGGCTCAATTTGATCATAAAATTGATCCGCTACGGAATTGAAGCAAGTTACTCTTATTTCTCCTCCATTAGAATCAAGAAGATCAAAAGAGAAAACTTTGCCATCACCTCTAGGATTATTATAGTGCCTGAGCTCGTCCTTTGATGTAACTCTGGCCTTAATTGTCCACCTCCCTTGATAAATATTCAGTGCTGCAATAATGAAAAGGGTTTAGAGAGTTTTATTTTTGAAATCCACACCTGAAAAGAGAAGAATGAGCGCCAAATAATGAAATCCTGAACGACGGTATATCGTATGGAGAGAGAGAAAATGTTGTGATAAACAAATTAAAAAAAAGGGAGGAGGAGTGGGGAGGAGGAACAACGGCGGATTGTAGAAGAAAAAGATAATGATGAGAGAGAGAGAAAAAGAGTGAGAGGAAGAAGAAAAATAGAGAGGGGGAAAGAGAGAGAAAACGTCGATAATTACAATCTCATTAAATCTGCTTTTACCATATTTATTTGTTGCTCAATAATCTAGTATGTTTGCAAATAAATATGATAGTTTTGGTTAATTTGTAAATAAATATATATGTTTAGTAAATATGTAATAAAAATGTTATTGAGTGGTGGGGGAGGTAATTTCCTCTTCTGCAAACTCCATCTAACAGCAAGCATGAGGGCTTATTCTTTCTGAACTCCTCCATCCATCACAAATGACCAATGTGCCAATTCCTTTCCATCATGTTCATCGACACACCCAACACTTATGTTCCCTCTTGTAGAAATTAAGGCTGTGTTTGTTAAGGAAAAACTCAAACCAAATTAATTTTACTCAAAATCTAACTCAACTTTAACTCAACTCCACTATCCTCAATATTATCAATATAATTAAATAATAACAACCAATCGTTTTTATACATCATATCAACTTTAATTAACTATTTATCCACTCACATAATTTTAACTAACCATCACTTCATATCATCTCTCTCCTACTTCTACATCAAACCAATTTTAATTATTTTATTTTAAATATTATTTTAGTATAAACTCTAAATCCCACTAACAACTAACTGCACCACTTTTTCTAAATTAATCCTAGTTAACTCAAAATAAAAAAAAATTGAGTTAATTCATTCAAATTATTCCTTTAACAAACACACACTAAGGCACTGACAAAACAAGCCACCCGTCCTATCTTTTTGGAAAACTTTTCTACATGAAATCCCATAGTTCTATGAGTAGCTCTATTTTATTGTTCCGAACCATCATAAAGATCAATGAACACCAACCATTTAGCTCTAGCCTCCATCACAATATCAGACTCCAACCTCCTTTATGTAAAAAACTGCCAGGCATTCTTGTTCTTCTAAATTATCCAAAGCACAAGTGCTAAAAAGCTGAGTCTCTCATATTTGCAATTCTGATCTTTAATTGAGCAGATGCTAGTCCATTAGGATTAAAAACTTAATTCTTTATTATCTAGTTGACTTCAGTGTAATCCACTCAGTTTTCAGCACAGAGAAGCAGATGGACAACAAAGAAGCATATGATAAATACTTTCCTCTTGTTCACCACACAAACCACACATAGCATCCAATTAAACTCCCTTCTTCCTCAGTTGCATTTTTTAGGCCACAAACCCTTTCCAACACCTCTATATGAAGAATTTAACCTTGATTTTAATTAATAGTGCCCAGTTGGTTTTCCACATCCTTCTCTCCTCAACATTACTGTAGTTTGTTCCTGCTTCCTGACCAAATTGTCTCATATTCCTCATGATTGCCTCATACACCTTTTTCATAGTCAGAAGTCCTTGTCCCAGTGCCACACCAGAAAGTCTTTTACTCCTACTGGCTTAGAGGGATCTGTAAAATAATTTCAGCATCCATAGGACTAAAAGTCTGCAAATCAAGTTCTTTATCCCGCTCATTAGAGCCCTGAAGAATAAGGCCACTCACCCTCTAAAATTTACCCTTAATTCCCTGAAAATACAAGTTGGCCTGTTGTTGGGTAGCCAAGGAGACTCCCAAACTAAAATTGATTTTCCATCCCTCACTTGGCACCTTAACCTTAAGTTCAAAGACATCCTAGCCCATAACCAACATCTCCACAGCCAAGAATAAAAACCCTTAACCTGAATATCTCATAGCCTTTGATTCCAAAAGTATCTCTCTTTCATCACTCTACTGAGTAACAAGTTGGGTTTGAAAATAATCCTCCAAAGTTGTTTTACCAGCAAAGCTTCATTAAAATCACTAAGATCTCTAAGCACCAGCCCCTCTTCCTCCTTATCCCTAGCCAAATTATCCCAAGAAGCCTTGTGCATCTTTCTACCCCCACTCTTTGTACTACCCGACTAGAAATTAACAATATCTTTACAAATGTTCTTAATAACTGGTGAAGGCACTCTAAACAGGACATTACATACGTGGACAGTGCAACTAACACTGATTTAATTAGATCCCTCCCAACTTCACTTAGGAACTTTTTTTTCCAACTGTTTATTCTCTCACTCACACAATCACTCATAAATATTAGTTTCACATTTGTTTCTCCCAATCCCCATGGATAATCCCAAGTATTTGGCAGGTCTAACTCTAGAGATTCTAGATAAAACCTTACAGATTGAAGTCACAGACTCATTAGAGGCATTTTTAGAAAAGAAGACAGAGGATTTGACAAGATTGACCATTTGACCAGAATCATTGCCATAACTGTCCAAAATTTGCAAAATAAGATTAGCTCGACCTCAAGCCCATTAGAGCCTCAAATCAAGCTCGATTTTGGCTCGTTTATCACTAAAAATGAGCCGAGTTCGAGCCTTAACAAGTCGATCTCAAGCTTTAACAAGCCAGACTATAGAAAATCCTATAAAAATTCTATTTTCGAGCATTATCGAGTCGAGCTCAACTCGACTCGTCTACCAAACAACTTTAAATGAGCTCGAGCTCGACTCATTTATCAAACAAGTCGAGTCAAAGGCTGTGTTTGTTTAACAAAATAGCTTTTTCACTCTTTTAGCTGTTTGACGATTCTAATCATCTAAAAAATATGTTTGGTAAATAGTTTTTCCAATTAGCTTATTTTGCCCCATCCGCCAAAGTTGAAAACGCTACCTTTAGCAGCGTTTTGATTTAGCGGACCACAAATAAAAATCTGTTCAGTCTTAATTGCCCTTTCCCATTTTTCATTTTATTATTCATCTCTTTCTCTACGATTTGCTCTGAATTTTCACTCCGAAAACGAATTTCTGGTGGGACTGATAACATTTACATGAAGTTCGTCCCCCCGTGTTCTTGATTCAGCTAGCGGTGAATTTTTTCCCTTTTCTTTTTTTAATTTTCTGCAATTTATTTTGTTTATAGCGCGGTAGGTTGCTTGATGTTACTGAATGTGTATTTTTCCCCTTAGTACCTTTCCCTTTGAGGTCCTCCCTCCCTCCATCTCCCTCTGTGTGTGTGTGCGCGCATGTGTATGTGTGTGTGTGCATGTGTTGAGAAAGTTGAAATAAAAAACAGAGATTGATGTAGCTTTTGATTAATTAACACAAAAAATTTCAAGATAGGAACAAGTAAATTAATTAAATTTCAAAATTGAAGAAATACAGAGTTTACATTATGTGCTTGTAGACATGGATAGCTAAAGAAAAAGAGAAGTGAGCATACATTAATTACTTTAAAATTATTGTATTGATTCTTATCAAATCTCGAGAGAAAAAGAGAAGTGAGCAATTGGTGCTTGCAGATAAGGATGTTGAGAATGTTGAATCCTTTTAGNAGTCACAAATTAATAAATACTCTCTCCATTTTGAAATATAAGGCGTATAAAGATTTCTCAATTTTTTTGAAATATAAGGTACGCTAAAAAATCAAGACAAATATTTGCATTTTTTTTCCAAATATACCTTCATTGTGTTGAAATTAAGGAAGTGTGGAGTGGTTGTGATTAGAGTAAATAAGGTTAATTTAGTCAATTTATTCATTAATTAATGTCTCCTTAATATTTGTTCAATAACCTTAAATGCCTTATATTTCAAAATGGAGGGAGTACTATTTTAAACACCTGCTTATGAAGTATTTTCATTTTATTATTATTTATATTTTTTTTCATATTTAAATCACTTTAATAAATATTGAAAATATTAATTATTTCTATTTCTGAAGTAATTATAAGTTCAACATAAATTAATATGATAAAATATGTTGATGTCCTTATAAGTAATTTTACATGTTAACAGCTAATTAAAATAGCTAATTTTACCAAATATTTTTGTACAAACCGCTGGTTAAAATAGTTAATAATCCATTGGTCAAAACAGCTAAAGCAATCCGCTAACAGCTTACAACTAACAGCTGATTACCAAACAGCTGATTACCAAACAAGGCCAAACTCAAGCCTTTACGAGCTTTTGAGTCGAGTCAAGCGGAGCCGAGCTGAGCCTGACTCGTTTAATTCAACAGTACTAGCATTGGTGTGGTTTGTTTCTCAGTGAGTTGATTGTCTTTGTATTCTATTGTACACTTGAAGTTGTTGGAATGAATTCATCCGTTTGGAGAAAAAGAAGTATAGGTCTATCCCAACTACAATGTAACAAATCCAACCCATAACAATGTTAGGGATGATTTAATAAAATTATATTAATATTATTTTTTCATTTATTATACCAATAAAAGTGGATGAAACATTAGATTATGAGATATTTAATTTAAAATTTGCACCATTTCTATATACTTTACAATGAAAAAAAAAATATGAAATTGACTTTTTTTTTTTGTTTGTAAAAGAAAATCAATTAACTTTGCTAGAGATCAACTAGTACGTGGACCGTGCGATGCACGGGAAAATAATATTTTGATTGTATTATACATTAAATAAATAAATAACATTAATCATGATTTATTCATTATTTATAAATTAAACCGGGTTGGACACAGTCCGACCGGATGGACTGAGAACCTGTTTATAACCGATTTAGTGCGCTTGAATAAAATATTTGCTATCGAATCCGCCAACACCAGTATGTTGGACTGGTAAGATCGATACGATTTTCTAAACAAATTTTGTTACATGAAAAATTATTTTAAATAAAATTACATATTTAAATAAAATAGAGATTTATAAATTGTTTATCAATTAGTTTAAACATTTGAATTTATAAATTGTTTAGATATTTAAGTAACACTTTCTATTTAAATATATTACAAAAAGTACTATATATATATATATATATTAAAGTATTATGTATTAAAATCTGAACAACCACAAGACGGTGCGATTCTGAAAATCTTATATTTACCGTACATTAATAAAAATGATAATGAAATAAATATTTTATTCACATAAATAATAATAAATGATATATAAATGTTCATAAATCATTAATCATGTTGTCATAAATGTATTGTTAATATGATTATTTGAATTTTGGACAACATCACATTCACGTAATAAAGTATTTTCAATATTAAAATTTATATTTAGGTTCAATAATCAATTTGGTCTGGTCAAACTGATACATAACTTAATTACCTCGGACCAACCAAGTTATGTCAAGTTTTTTGACTATTTTAAATATCACCTAAAAGTAATTCAATCAAAGTGGGCAGTACCCTAATTCAATCACCCGATTGATCCAAAGTAATTTCCTTATTTTCTTTAAATATAATATTTAATTTTATGAAATAAAAATATTTTATGATTCATATGTCTACACCAAATGATAGTATATTAAGATTATAAATTATATATCCAAAGATGAACTATTTATTTTTATTTTATGCATATTAATAAAAAATAAACATAGTAATTTTAAAAAAATTAAGATTAATTGATTGGGTATGCAATTTAAAAAATATTTTTAGCGTTCAATATATATATATATATATATATATATTTAACATGATTGAATTTTTGGATTAGAATATATATATTTAAAATAATTTTATTATTAAAAGTCAAAAAGAAAAGATGCCATAAAGATTACAACTTTGAAAAGTTTGTAACCATTAATTTATGAACCCTCCGATTTTAAATGACTTATAATTTTTGAAACATGATACGTGCATTTAAAACCCATTAATTTAGGAACCATCCAATTTTTTGATAATGAATTAAAATTAAAATGTAAAATGTAAAAGTTGCTGAAAATAGTATATAATAAATGTGGTTGACTTTTCCTTACTACTATTTATGGTAAATGTTAATTCTTATTATATATATATATATATCGATATATAGATTACTACTATTTATGGTAAATGTTAATCTTATTATATATATATAGATATATAGATTACTACTATTTATGGTATATATATATATATCGATATATAGATTACTACTATTTATGATAAATGTTAATTCTTATTATATATATATATATAGATATATAGATTACTACTATTTATGGTAAATGTTAATTCTTATTATATATATATAGATATAGATTAGTGATTATTTTATTAAAATATTAGAAATCAATATCAATCTGCGAAAGATAAGAAAAGGGAACAAAAATTTTAAATTTCAACAAAATTTATACTACATAATAATATAGTTTGTATTCTCCAAAAACCAAATTAAAATAAGATTTTATTTGTACACATATTATAACCTTAACTTTTTGTCCTTTTTGGCAAAGCTATTTGCCTAGTTTTATAGATTGTCAACCCAATTACCCTATTTTTCCAAATTACGAAGTCCCTTTAAAGGAGAGAGAGAGTGCAAAAATGGAAAAAGAAGGAACTTGACAATTGAAACCGAAGAGAATGAAGAGGCACTTCTAAATTTATTTACAGTGTTTTGGAGATAGACACAGGGTTTTCGAAACTGCAACTGAACCAATAAAATCTTCTTCCCTCTGCAAAATTCTTGAAAAAATCTTGAAATTTTCTACTTCTGCCAGTGTTTGTACCTTTTGTCCGGTAATTTGTACTTTGATCTGCCCGCACATTCGCTTCTCTCTATATTGCATACACATACAAAGGTGGCCGAGGAGATAATAAGGCAAAGCGTGGGTTTTACTGGGTTGTTGCCGCATTAGATCTGTTCACGGCGGCGATGAGTGCAAGCAGGGGAAGCGGCGCCGGCAATGGCGGAGGGGCACAATCAGTTCCGGCGGGGTCGCGGAAGATTGTGCAGAGCTTGAAGGAGATAGTTAATTACTCGGACGCGGAGATCTATGCTACCCTCAAGGACTGCAATATGGACCCTAACGAGACCGTTAATCGTCTACTCGCTCAAGGTTTGTGTTTCAATTTGAAAAGGTTATTATGTTTCTTCTAGGGTTTTTATGTTCCTGTCCAAGCAAGAGTCTCTCTGCTTGTGGGTAAATTATATGCGCGTTTTTTGTTGTATGCATGCATCTGTTAAGCGCGAACTGTGTACTGCGGTTTTCTATTAAATAATTGAATTTTGCGAACTTGACGTTCTTTTGTAATTGTATTTGTCTCAACGTCGTCTTCAAGAAATGCTCAAGAAATTTGAGTAGAAAAAGAAAAGCAAGAAATTTCAGAGACAGATTTTTTCTTTTCAATCTGTGTATGGGAAATCAAGAATTCTGCTTTTCTGGATTTAGATTTTTTCTATGGTCATTGGGTTACCTTGGTGAAAGATAGCTTAACGTTTAGCTTTGTAAGCCATGTCAGTAGTTTTCGATTTTCATAATTATTTTGCTTTGCAACGAGAATAATGTACTAGGAAATTTTACTTTTTGAAGTCTGGAGATTCTGCTATTGCCTGAGCTAGATTTGACATGTTGTGAAAGATTTAGCTTTCAGGCACTGCTGCTACATCTCTACTGGACATGCTTCTGAATGTTTGACTGCACAGTTGCATGAAGTCACATAAATTTTATCCTGAATTGGTTCATTCTACTTGAATTGATTGCCTTCATGTGTGGCATTCTTCTTCTTAAGTTGTATCAGTTGATCAAGTTGTACCGTTAGTTTCGGCAACTGTAACAAACCTATGGAATATAACCTCTGCTGTAACATTAAAATCTTGAATGCTCTGTGTATTTCAGTAATCGAACTTTCTCTGATTTCTTTACTGTTGTTAGATCCTTTCCATGAGGTGAAGAGTAAAAGAGAGAAGAAAAAAGAGGTGCGTGATTTTTGTTGATGCATTTAGGCTATGGGTTTTGTTTGATAACAGGTTCCTTCCCCATATTATTGAACCTAAGAACTATGTGCTAGAGTATTATCTTTATATCTTATCATTATCTGTTGGACTTAATCGGATGTGATTTGGTTGGTTTACCTTTCCCTTCCATTCTAAATACAGAATAGTCAAACTTTCTTAATTAGTAATGTACGTTGCTTCTTTATAACTTTGCATTTTTTCACCTTGTATGTTGGTTGAGTACAGTTTGAAGCATAATGTTGCTTTATTTATATTTTTCAGGGTAAAGATACCACTGAGCCTAGGTCTCGTAGTGTTAATCATAATTCCAGCCGAGGCAACAAGATTAGCACTGATCGATATCTTAACCGTGGTGGTTCAACGTCATATATTTCATCTGGTGCTTATAGCTTCAGATTTTAATGGTTTTCTTTGATGTACTTTTTGTCTGCAAGACATTTGTAAACATTCATGGTTATGTTTTATTTTATTTTTCATTGGCAGAGTATGCTCCTTTGCCCGGAAAAGTATTATCTAAGAAAGAAAATGGATCAGCTTCTTACACAAGCCCTTTCTCATCGTATGATATATCAGGAAATAATAGCAGCAGAGGACCCGCTGACCACAGGTCTGTCCTGTTATAACTTTTTGAATGTAGGTTTTATTGAGTTCCTGAGTTGAAATTCTGCATATCTATATAGTGTATGTATTGATCATATTTGTCGATGCTTTCCTCCTGGGGTTTTTGTTTTGCTACTCTTTCTAGCAAAGATGGTCTGAATTCCTAAGCAGGGTTTCAATTATTGTTTATGATTCACTGTATCATTCATCACCATCAACATCATTATCATCATTCATTTTGTATCTTCATTTCTAATGTTTATGTGAACTTATGATGACGTGAAATCTATTTTCTGTAATTTGCACTAAGCTCTTCAAATATCATTTACTTGCATGCTATGTTTCAGATGCTGCAATGATGGTTCAGTATACATGCATGGGTTCTTAATTTTCTCTGCATTTCGCTTTTTATTGTTCTTGGCTTCTTGTCAACCTTTTATTTGTGAGGCTCATTCTTTCATGTATGGTATGTTGTAGTGATGATGCCTGTGCCGAAAACAAAGGATCATCAGCTGCGCCATCTGGTGTAAAGCCATTTTCTGGAAATCAATCTTCCTGGACAGGGCCTCCTGGTCCTGTATCCATGGCTGACATAGTGAAGATGGGCAGACCGCAGAATAAAGTATCAAATGCTCCGACTAATGAAGAGTGGCCTTCCATAGAGAATCCTGAAGATCATGAATTCAATTATCCTGAGTCAGGAATATCTATGGTTCAGCATTCACCGACTAATGAGGAGTGGCCTTCCATAGAGAATACTACTGCTACACAAGTGTATGTTCCGGAGTACATTGTGGATACTGAGCAGTACCAAGAGGTGCATGGTGTACCAGTTAACAGAATTGGTCGACCTTCTGAGGTAGAATATGTTCAAGAAGTAGAAGATGAAGATGCTGAATATTCTGGGGTATCGAATTCTAGCTCCAGCCGGAAGATTCCAGAGGATGGTTCAAGAGATGCATCCCTACTAGAGAACAATTTGTATACAAACAGAGGTTCTTACCAGCATGATTTCAATGAAGGTGACTGCTTTTACAATTTTGTCTTATTAACGAATTAATGTATGCTTGAACTTTCATGCTGTGAAATGTTACATCTTTGTACGCCCTAGGGGAATGAGTTGGTGTATCATCAATATTGTGCACCCTGGTGCTGGTTATATTACATCAGATATATAGATGTGGATACAGATTCAATGTGAACTTTTACACAAATAATAAATAATTACAACTGAACCAGAAATTGTAAGTAGTAGAATGGTGAGTTATCTTCTAAATGACCATGTCTACTTGCTTCAGAGTAGTTTTTTTAGTTGTCCTCCTTGTTTGTGAGATCCGAAAATGTATATTGTATACGGTGTAATGCATGTTTTTGTCATATTGAAGAAATGGGTCTTGTATGAACATCTATTTTATGTTTTGTACTAAAGACATGGATAGTCTTACTTGTCTGGTTCAGTCAATCTGCGTTGTAAATTTCATGTATAAACACTTGGGTATCTAAGTCTTCTAAACATGTTACAGCTGAAGACAATGGTGCTTCAGTGTCATCAGTCGCCAGAAACTTGCAACAACTTAATATAGAAAAGGGTGATAGAGATTTGCCACCTGAGGGATATACAACATCTGTGGTAATTCCAGACCATTTGCAAGTTCAGAATGTAGATTGCTCACATCTGAGCTTTGGCAGTTTTGGACCAAAGTCAGCTTTGCCCACACGGTCTAACTTGGAAGAGCCGCGTAATGAGCCTAATGTTTCGTCAGTTGGAAATCTAAACAGCAGGTATAGCAACTGATGGCAGTATAGGATTTTTTTTCTCTGTTTCCCCTTTAAATTAAACGGATTTCAGTTCATTTTTATAGACTCTAAAGATGTGCCTTTCACTCTTCTGGCAGAAGGTCAGAGTATTATGTTGACGATTCCCTTACAAATGCTTCTGATGGTGATTTGTTCCATAGAAGTAATACAAATGCAGGGAGCTATGCTCCATCTTCTGCTTCACAGCGAGAAGAGCTGAAGCCCGAGAATGCTGAATCTGTTCATTCAAATCAATACACTTATCCTCCTAACACTGGATACACCTTTGCTGATGCTCAACACTTAAATGCTCCTTTCGGTCAAGCAAGTTCCCAGATGCAATCTTTAGCTTCCTTCTCGGATGTTGTGGTACAACAATTTTCTTTTTTTTTTTTTTTTCCTCATGTTTTTGGGTCTAAAAAAGATTATTTTGGTGATCTTCAATTTGAAGGAGTATCAATATATTCTGCTCTTTTCATTTGTCTTATAAGAAATAAAGTAGAAATTTATGACATAGAAATTGATGCACGACTATATTTCCTGATTAAAAAAAGTAAAAGAATTTTGAGAATAGTTTATCTAGCGTAATTGTTTTTTCGCTTTTCAAATCTTCATCTGTTGTTTGTTAATCCAGGCATGCTCTAGATCTGACTCCTCACTCTTAAAAAATTTATAATGTCTGATACTCTAGCCTGTTTTGCTTCCTTATGTGTGAAGCTATTATGTCGATTATTGCGATTTCCAGATATCTAATACCATACAGGTCCACCATGATTGTACATGACAACGCGTGGATGTCTTGCTGTCATCGTATATTCTTGTGATTAAGGATGTTGATAATGAATTATAGTTTAGCTGCAACTCTGTCACTAGCTTTATGCTGCTTTAGTGTGTTAAGCTTTTTGTGGGATATGTGTTGCAAAATCATGCATTTGAAACTTTATTGTGGAATCTGAAATATATTGTCCTTTCTTCTTCTTCTTCTTCTTCATCTTCATCTTCTTCATCTTCATCTTCTTCTTTTTTATTTAATCCTTTCTTCTTCTTTTCTTTTTTGTATGGTAAGTCTGCGCTGTTTCCATTAAGTTGCGTAAATGGTCTATTTGAGGTCTTTTTCTGTTGGATTGCATATCTGATATCTGATTGTTTTCTTTATGGCAGGGCTACTCAAACCCACTGCCAAGCACATTGTCGCCAGCTAAAGTTCATGCGGGTAGAGAACCCGATCTTCAGTTCTCTCAATTTGCTGACGCGCAATCATTATCTGCTAAATATGGAAATTCAGTCTCTACCATTGGTGGTTCAGCAATTTCTGAGGTACACTTGTCAAATAAGTTGATAAAACTAAACTAACCCTTTCACCTAACGGCTGCCCTGAAAATGTGTAATAATATTTTTATCCCCTATTTATTTAGTGTTTTCCGCAAAAAAATCTTCTTTTGGTGTTTGGTGGTCCTATAAATGTTCAAGAAAAAAGAACCTCCATTTTCCTTAAAAACTACCTTAAGGTAATAATGAGTCCAGAAATCTCTGGATAGTTCTTATCAGTTCTTCAAGTTCAATTGTGGCGGTATATTATATCAAGCTGGAAAAAAGGCTAACATCGATTAGTAATCTTATAAATGCAAGCAAAATCCCATTAGAAGAAATCAAACAAACCAAAAGCCAATTCGTGTGTTATCTATTATACTTTTTTCAGGCTTTGAAGACTGCTGCTGGTTTCTCATCTTCACAGCAAAGTTCTCCACAGAATCTTTCCGAGGCTGGAGTCGCTAATGGGCCTCCTCTTCCTCAGCATCTCTCCATGAATCCATATTCCCAGGCCTCTCTCCAGTTGGGCTTGGGCCCATACGCAAACATGATGGGCTACCCGTACTTGCCCCAGAGCTATACATACGTTCCATCATCTGCTTTACAACAGACGTTTTCGGGCAACAACACGTACCATCAATCACTGGCTCAGTACAAGAACAGTGTCTCAGGTGGCCTTGGAAATACGTCAACCATTCCTGGGAATATCTCAATGAATGCTGGGACGAGTTTGAGTTATGATGATGTTTTGAGTGCTCAGTATAAGGACAATAGTCATTTGGTCTCTCTTCAGCAGCAGGTATGTTTGCTTTGAACTCTGAGAAATGATGGGTTGATTAAGGAGTGAATTCAAATTGTTTTTATTGATATGGGGGATTTGTATGCTGTGATTGGTCTGAATGGGCGAGAGTTGTAATTCTGAAATATATTTTAGGATAATTACCTAAATGGCTTTTGGGATATCGTTTAATTGAAACCAAAGAAGAAAAAAATAGATGTCTGTAAATTAGGAAAGCCGAAAGCCCCTTGAGGTATGATCCCAACCTAAATGGCTTTTGAGGTAGTGTTTAATTTAAAACAAAGAACAAAAAAAGGAGATGTCCGTAAATTAGGTAACCCCCTTGAAGTTCGATCCCATATTACAAGACGACATTTTATAATACTTCCAATAAATGTTAAGGGGGTGCTTGGAACATTTTTACTTGTAACGACTCAAAACTCGGTATAGTTGTTGTCTTTTAAGCAACATTACAATATATATATCACCCAGAATGTGCCAAAAGAAGTCGATCATCTATTTATTTATATATATACATTTAAATCGACAAGTTTTGTGAGATTTGACTTGTACCTCATTATTTCATTTCAGAATGATAATAACTTGGGCACGTGGCTCCACGGACTTAATTCCCGAACAATGTCGGGTCTTCCAGCCAGCACATATTACAACTATCAGCAGGGACTAAACCAGCAAACAGGAGGATTCAGACAAGTGGAGCAACAGAATTATGGAAATCAAGGATACTCGAATTTCTATAATTCACAAGGTGGAGCCTTTTCGCTCGATCAGCAACAGAACTCGAGAGATGGATCACTTGGCGGCTCCCAAGGGCAGCCTAAACAGTCCCAGATTTGGCAGGGTGGCTACTAATTTACCACCTCCCGGTTTTTTTTTTCTTTTTTTTTTTTTTTTTTTTTTTCTTTTTTAACCTTTTAGGGGTCTTGTAATGAGTGAGAAAGAAAAAAATAGAGGTGGCCCTATGAGACTTACCGTGACTCGATTATTACGATTTTTCGTGAAATGGGATTTGAATGGTCACTGCTGCCCTGCTCGAGTGTGCCCCTTGAAGCTGTGTATTTTTGCGTACTTTATCGTCTACCAGTTTTATGTTACATAGGAAATGTGGGGTTCTAACACTTCTGTTTTAGACTTTTAGTTGAGGCATCATATCTTTCTTTTTTGTTTGTTCATCCTTTGCAATTTTTTCAGTTTTTTAGCTCTACATGCCTTTTATAGAGAATATTTGTGCTCTTCTGCAGTTGTTTTGCATGTTGGAAATCTGCAATTTTCTGTTTACTGTGTTGTGTTGTGGCGGTTTTTGGTTCATGAAGAGGCCTTTGCTAGCTCTTGATTCTTGTCTCAATATTTTTGTCGATCTATTTGATGATGAG